TGCTACCGCGTGATATTGATGCTTCTCAAAATCACTTTGGATTCATGTCGGGTAGGTCGACTATGGAAGCCATACATTTATTAAGAGGTTTGATGGAGAAATATAGAGAAAATAAGGAGGATCTACATATGATATTTATTGATTTAGAAAAATCATATGATAAAGTTCCAAGAGAAGTGCTATGGAGAGTTCTTGAAAAGAAAGGAGTCAATAATGCTTATATTCAAATCATTAAAGATATGTATGCAGGAGCTATTACTTGTGTTCAAACACAAGGTGGTTTGACCAAGTATTTCCCTATTTCGGTTGGGTTACATCAAGGATCAGCCTTAAGCCCATATCTATTTGCTTTAGTCATGGATGTTCTCACTAGACATTTGCAAGATGATGTACCTTGGTGTATGCTTTTTGCTGATGATATTCTTCTTGTTGATAAGACTAGAGAGGGTGTTGAAGGTAAACTTGAATTATGGAGGTCAACTTTAGAGTCTAAAGGTTTTCGCTTGAGTAGATCTAAAACGGAATATATGGAGTGTAATTTTAGTAGTAATGGACCTAGTGAGGGGATTGAAACTTTGGGCAATCAAGTCATTAATAAGAGTACACATTTTAGATATCTTGGATCTATTGTTCAGAGTGATGGTGAAATAGATGGGGATATTATGAGGCTATCAGCAGAATTCAAGTTGGATGGTTGAAGTGGAGGAATGCATCGGGCTTGTTATGTGATAGAAATGTACCCCTCAAACTTAAGGGGAAATTCTATAAGATGGTAGTGAGGCCTGTAATGCTTTATGGTGCTGAATGTTGGCCATTAAAAGAGAAGCATAATACTAAGTTAAGTGTGGCAGAGATGAGGATGCTCAGGTGGATGAGTGGCTTTACCCGTAGAGATAGGATACGAAATGAGCATATACGTGAAAAGGTTGGAGTAGCTCCAGTAGAAGATAAGATTAGAGAGAGTCGCCTTAGATGGTTTGGTCACATAAAAAGGCGGCCTTCCGATGACCCGGTTAGGAGAGTAGAGGTATTAGATTTGACTTGTGTTAAGAGAGGTAGGGGTAGACCTAAAAAGACTTGGTTATAAAATATTAGGAATGACCTTTCTTTATTAGATTTAAACGAGAATTTGACTTTTAATAGGACACAATGGAGAAAAAGGATTCATGTAGCCGACCCCACGTAGTGGGATAAAGGCTTGATGTTGTTGTTGTTGTTGTTGAGTTAAACAATGAAGTAAAACACAAAGAGCGGTAAACACAAGCTTAGGTTAAGCTACTTGCGAAAAGTAAAAACCACATAACAATCAATTACTCTTGACATTGCATATGAGATAGGTTTCAACAAGAAATCCCTAATCTAACAACAAGAGTAGTGCTATGAAAGAGCTCTCACACAATTCCTACCAAATACTAGGCTTTAGCGGAGCGTTGCAAGATTTTGCATGAATCAATCAAAACTATAAGGATCAATGAGGAAGGTAAGAGAAGAGGTAAGAGTTCACCCTTTATTAAGATTTAACCTTATCGCAAGCTTGGACAGCAGTTGGTGATTTCTTGGACGGCTCGGACAGCAACAAATCCAAGCTCGAACCTTTGGATAGCAAGTAGCCAACATGGGACAGCTATTCCTGACAGTTCCAGGCAGTAACGGTGGCTCCCAAAGGGGCTGGACAGCAATGAACTCCTGCTGGAATCACTGGGCAGCAACTCTCTAGGGATTGGAAGGGTGGACAGCCACTATTAACATCCAGAATTTCTGGACAACAAGGAAACTTGGTGTAGGGGGTAGGGTTTGATGTGGGTGGCGGGTAGAGAGAGGGAAGAAGGGGATTGGCCACGCTAGTGGAGAGAGGAGAAGAAGGACAGGGTTCGGCCAAGGCTAGGAGAGGGAGTCCCTTTCCAAATATGAAATTTTTGCTTTTCAGATTTCTATTTGGAAGGAAAATGGATTTAAAGATTTGAAATTCAAACAAGGAAAATAGAAGGAAAGTATTTTATAGATTGGAGATTTAATTGGTATCTTCAAAAGAAAGGGGATTTAATGGAGACTTGAGAGAGAAAGGGGGTGGGGCCGGCGGCACTTTGAATTGGGGAAGGCTTTGAATGGATTTTTTAATGCTTGCCTAAATGGGACCCTTAATTGAAGCCAATGAAATTAAATCAAATCCAATTAGAATTTTATTTGGATGAGATTTAGGAAACCTTCCTAAAATAGATTTCTATTTTAAGAAATAATTCAAATTTCAAAGTTGATTTTGAAATTTAAAATTATGGCTTTCCAAATTGGGATTATATAAAAGGTAAGAATTAATTGGGTTGAAGTTGGGGAGGAAGGGGAGTGGAAAGGAGGCCGGCGGCTAGCCTAGGCTTAAGGTTAGGTTTGTGGGTTGGATGCATTGGTGGTAGAAGTAGGAAGGTCAGTTGGGGGTGAAGGGGAGGTGGATTGGAGGGGTGGAGTTGGCCGGCAACAATGTGGGGTTTTGCTAGGGAGAACCGGCGGCTAAGGTGGAAGGGGATTGGATGAGTATGTATGTGGCTTAATGGAGGAGGAAGGGAAATGAGAAGGAACGAAAGAAAGGTAAGGAAGAAGAACCACGAACCCGATCGTCTCCAAGGTTGGTGGGTGATCCGATTTCCCTCTCTTAGGGATTTCTCCAAGACTCACAAACTCTTACATCAAAAGAACAATACACAGGAAATTTTCTTTCATATCATCATTAACCCTCAAAGAAGAAAAGGGAGGCTTTAAATAGCCCATACAATGAGAAAATACAAAGTACTACTATGCTCATCGGGCTTACACATACCTAAGCCCTTAAGTAAGGGCAAAAGTGAAAAAGCATAATAAAACTTCATAAATAAAACTAATACATCAATAATAAATATGAAAATCAAAATTAGAGCGGTGTAATCGTGGTCGTTGGTCGCCAGCCATGTCTCTAATAAGCTTTCCATGTCTTGATGTCCTCATCAGGTATTTATAATGTGAAACACTGAGGTATTAGCAAGAACTTAAAAAAATTGTTGTGCAGTGTATTAAATGCTTATCAGATCATCATCATTACATAGATCTTGGTAATTCCTATACAAATAATGAGCCTTTAAGTTTCATTTAGAAAGTGTTACTCATCAAAGGAATGCTTTACAATAAATAGGTTTAATTTATTATATAAAGCGTTTTCTCTTGAAAATTTTCAGTCTTGAAAAATTCTATCAAGGCAATGTTTGAAGTCTATCAAGAATTTATCCATTATCATGCTCTAGGATATCACGCAATCATCCTATAGATCGTCTTGAGAAAGAACAAATACATAAGCATCACACAATTCCATTCACAGTTCTAAAGTTCAACAAACCACAAAATTTCTTTTCAGTGAGCTAGAAAAAATTATCATATTTTTTCAAAAGGACAAAAAAAAAAAAAAACCCATGAATGTATATTGAATCTCTATTTTTTGTTAAAGGTACTCACTGGGATAATCTTCTCGTCCCATTCTCATGCTCTTGGGAAGCATGACATATCCTCCCTTTGTCTACATACCCCTTTGTTGTCGTCGACCATTGCGCAGTTCTGGGCAATTTAGGTATGCTTATCCTTGGGCAAAGTGCTAAGCATTTGTTATGCTAGGATAAATTATTATGTGCGGAGACTGGATGCAGAATGTCTTCTGAAGGCCAATCAGAATTTGTCACATCAGTGGTACTGAGTCGCGGTACCGAGCTACTCGACTCTTGTGATCTTCATCTCCATGGCCTCAATTCTCAACATGTTCTTGTCTGGTTGCTTTGAATTCATAGGACAATGCTTCTCTTCAATAATACCCAATTTGTGCTCTTGAGTGTTAGTGGCTTGCCTTGATTCAACTCTATTTTCTTCTCTAGAATCTCCACCTTCACCATTGTGAGGGCTGATGAAGTCGAGAATGAGAAAGAAGACCCAGACCCTTCAATCTATGAGCTATAATATGTTCCACGAATCTTTTAAACTCTTAAATATCCCATATCTCTAGGCTTGTCTCTCCATGATTTTCTTCAGTATCTTCATTGGTTTGGCCAATATGTTGACGCTTTTGCTTTATGTGGCCAGGTTCTTGACGTGGATTGATAGTGATGGTTGTTCTTCACGAATCGATTGACAAACTTTTCAGGGATGTAGGTGGTCAAGAAATTAGGACCTACTCTTGAGCAGTAAGAAACTGGAGGGGAAAAAAGTTTGTCGGGGCTAAAAACATTGAGTAACAGATTTTTTCAAGTAGACTAAGCTGCAGATTTTGATAATAGGGGAATTGTGGCTTGTAATTTTATCTTAATTTATATATATATATATAGGCTTCTAAGGTGAGAGGAAGTCTAGAAACACAAAGTTACAGTAATTTGCTTGAGAAATGCAATGCTAATGAGATGCTACCAAAAACATTAACATTCACCGAATATGATCAGGTTGTTTACATAGTCATTGACTTGATATTCAAACTAGTTAATTACTTTTTCTTTGATAATGGACATAATTCTAAATTTGTCTTTCTTGCTGGATGAAAATATTTGAGTTCTGATCAACTGGTTACTGTCTTATAATCTGTTTCTTATTCAAACATATTCTAGAAAATTTTGTCAAGAAAGAACTCATATAGCGGAGTGAGATATAAAGATGAACCTGCTATATTTGCTTGGGAGCTAATGAACGAACCTAGATGCGCATTGAACTCATCTGCTCCTCTTCTTCAGGTAACGTTTAGCAACTAATTCATGGTTTTCTTATGTAGACTTGCAAATTTTTGTTGCATATGCTTTTGGTTTTGCAAGTGTTTTGGCAGTTACACGTAGGGGTGTAAGTGAGCCGAGCCTGCTCGCGAGCCAGCTTGAGCTCGACTCGTTTATGGGCTCGCAAGCCAAGCTTATCGAGCTCACGAGTCGAGGTCAAAGCTCGAGTTCGAGCTTGAGCCGGCTTGGCTCGTGAGCTCGCGAGCCGGCTCAAATAAATATTAATATTTTTAAAATAATTTTATTTTATTTATTAAATTTCTATATTTAAAAAATTTAATAAAAATCACTTAAGTTTTTTTTTTAAATGTTAAACATTTCATATTTTTTTCTAAATTTTGTCTAAGTTTTAAAAATCCTGCTTAAGTTTTAAAAATCCCGATTAATTTTTAAAAATCCCGCCTAAATTTAAAAATTCCTGCCCATGACTCGCGAGCCGGCTCGAGCTCACTTACAGTGAGACGAGCTCGAGTTCGAGCTCGCTTTCCAACTAACGAGCTGAGCTCGATAAGAGTCTAAACTCGACTTGTCTCGTCTCGTTTACACCCCTACTTACACACCACAAATTGTGAACCCAGCCTTTTTTTTTTCCCGTGAACCCAGCCTTATGCTTGTTATGCAGGCTTGGATTGCTGAGATGGCTTCTCACATCAAAAGTTTGGATAAGAAACACATGGTCACAGTAGGGCTGGAAGGGTTCTATGGACATGGGAGAACTGAAAGAGTAGGCGCTAATCCCGGAGAATGGGCTTCTTCACTTGGTTCTGATTTCATTCAAAACTCTGCTGACGAGAACATAGATTTTGCTTCAGTTCATGCCTATCCTGATAGCTGGTTGGTTTCAATGCTCCTTAATCAAAACTTTAACATGAATTGAGGGAGCTCTTATATGATTTTCTTGCAGGATACCAAAAGCAAGCTTTGAAGAAAAGGTGAAGTATCTCTCCAACTGGGTTGATTACCATGTGAATGATAGTGAGCATGTATTGAAAAAGCCAGTGCTGTTTGGGGAGGTTGGGTTTCACTTAGAAGGAAAGAAAAATGGATCTTATGATAGAGATATCATCTTGAAGCTGGTTTATGATAAGTTATATGAGTCTGCAAAGAAAGGTGAAGCTGGAGCTGGAGCATTGATATGGCAATTGATGATTGAAGAAACCCAAGTGTACAAGGATGAATTCTCATTAGTTGCTAGCCGGCATCCTTCAACCTACAATCTCATATTACAGCAGTCTTGCAGATTGAGAAAATTATTCCGAAGAAAAGGAAAAACAAAAAGCAATTTTTGGCCTTGTACCGATCCTTAATTTTGGAGAGATTATTACGTGTGGTGTCTAGACTGTCCGGAGACGAATTCGGATGCACCATGTCACCCGGATGCACTAGGCCCCGGATGACATGGCACGTCCGAATTTGCCTCCGAATGAATCCAGGCGCCACACGTAATAATTTTCCCTAATTTTGACGTAGTAAATATTCATTTTCCAACACATTTGTTCAATTCTCTCCGAGTCCTGATTGTCTTCTGCTTCATTTTTTTTTTTTTTTTTGATTTAGCCGATTGTTGTAAATGTAAAGAATGGATTCATGTAATATTTATATGTTGGGAAGTTTACGATAGCCATCTAGTTGATTCTTGAATTCGCAATGATGGATAACTTGCCTGCATGTTTCTAATCAATGGGAAGTGTTCATATTGACAGAAATAAAGTGGAAACGCGATAAATTGTGGCCTAATTCTAGATCCAGCACCATTGAGCTCGGCCTGTCAATTGAGCTCAGCGGGCTGAGCCTCAGGAAGGCTTGGCTTAGAGTTTCTTTGAGACAATTTGTTACTGTTTTTTAAAATAAATTTTTATTAAAAAAAAAGTATTTAGAAATCTTTTTATTAAAAATTTGCTTTAGAAATTAAGAAAGTTATCCCAAACGAAATATTAATTGTATTATGGCTCAATTTATCAGCTTAAGCTTGAATATGTTATGCTCAAGTTTGGCCAGATTTTACAGAGTCTCCCATTGAGTATGTAGGGGTGCAAATGAGTCGAGTAAAACTCGAGTCAGGGGGTGTTCGAGTGGAGTTCAACTGTTAAATATTGAGCTCAAGCTCAAAGTTCAAGCTCGTCCAACTATAAAAGAGCTCGAGCCGGCTCATGAGCATTGGCGTCATTTTTTTTGAATATTTTTGAATATTTTAAATATTTAAATATTTAAAATATTCAAAAATATTCAAAAAAAATGACGCCAATGCTCATGAGCCGGCTCGAGCTCTTTTATAGTTGGACGAGCTTGAAAAACCATTTAACCAATAAATTTTTTAGTATTTTTTTATCATTCTTTTTTCAAAAAAATGTTTCAATTTTATTTTTGGGATTATATTTTAACTTCTAAAATTTAAATTAAATTAAAAAAATTTAGTAGTAAAATTTTATTTGATTTTATTTGAGTTAAAATAATTTTAAAATTTTAAATGAAAAATTTTCATATATAGTTTGTATTTATTTTTGTTCACTTGAGCAAATTTTAATTTTTTTCTATGAAAATAATTTTCAATTTGTCTAATCATTTTTTAGTATTCACTGTTTATCATTCAAATGATACAGATATAATGAAAATAATATACTTATTAAGATGATATTGTCAACCTCTATATTTTAAATTTCTACAAACACAAATTGGAAATAAATTACATAGATTTAAAACCGATGATATCGGTCTAAAGATTTTTAATATTTATTATTTACTGATATATATAATGCATTTTGATTCAAACTCCTATTTTATTTATTTAGCCAATACCTTGAAAAAAATTGTATTTGAATTTAGATCGTTTACAGATTAAATGAGATGACTATGTGAAATTTTTTTATGTCCATTTTTTCTTTCACAGCCCTACTTCTTTGATGTTGCCATATCTTCAAAATACATTTATTATTCATCACAATTATAATTTTTCTTGATTCGAACTCAAATTCCATGATTCCATCTATATGAAATCTATGATAATATGTATAACACAAAATTATTATTTTAGACATGCAAAAATCGCACTTTGACCACTATGAGAAGGAGCATAACAAAAATCTAACCCTTTATTTGGTAACTAAGGCTTTGTACTGGATGTCTGTCTTAATGCTTCTTAATACAATTTTTTTTAGTATAAAAGTTTTAATTTTTATATTTTAAAGCTTCTTTAAAAACTATAAGAATGATACATTTAATAGCATTCACAATAAATTGATTGCACAACAGTTTCAAAAAATGAAGACTCAACCTGAAAAATTATAGATAATATGTAAGTTTTTTTGTTTTATCATATATTATCTTTTTATAATGAAACAAACGATTTAAAAAAAAAAATAAAACCATTAATGTCAGTTCCAAGCCCGGATGAAAAAAGGTTTAGGATTTTTTTTTTTTACATCAATGATTTGTGCCCCAACATCAAAAAAATCCTGGCTCCGCTCTGCTTACACACCTAAGTATGAGGCACCTCATTTTCTAAATTAATTTAAGGAATTATGAAAAAATTATTTTGTAAGCAAAGATACGCACATTTTATAGAGCAAAAGTGGACATTCCTGGGAAGACCGTGGCCCTAAATAGAATAAATAAGGTTTTATTTAGGATAATTTTTTAAAATAATTTTTTAATAAAAAAATTCTTGAAAATCATTTAAGAATATACATTGATAAAAAACTATCATAAGTGAAGCCTATGTATTATTTAATAAATTTAAAATAATAATAAGAAGAACATCCTTGGGGCTAGTTGTATATGGCTATAACAAGAAGGAATAATTATTAGGTCCAGACACCTAGCGTAGCTCTACAACCGGACGCTAATAACATGTCGCCACGTGCTCTTACTCTTTACCACGCTGCCCGACGACCCGACCCGGACTGGAACTTGGTATTGCTATGTTCGGGTATTGCTCGGTATTGTTAGGTATTGCTAGGTATTGTTTGACAATAATGAGAAATACCGCTCTGTCAATACCAATACCTAACAATACCGAGCAATACCAATCAATACCTAGCAATACTGAGCAATACCTAACAAAACCGGGGTATTGCTCGGTATTGCTCAGTATTGCTCGGTATTGGTCTTGACAGAATGGTATTTCTCGTTATTGTCGAGCAATATCGAGCAATACCTAGCAATATCCCGGTCTGCTCAAATCAGCCAATACATAGCAATCCCGGGTCCGGTCCGGTCGGGTTGTCGGACCGAACGGTAAAGAGTAAGAGCACGTGGCACCATTTTACTGGCGTCCGAACGTAGAGCTACGTCAGGACACCGGACCTAATAAAAATTCAACAAGAAGATATAATTTTCTTGTCAATGAAATTTACTTCTTGTGGATGATGTGCTCATAAACCATGCTAAGGAAATGTGTTGATTTTATGCCAATTGTCATTTTTTTGAAATGCTTAGGAGATGAAGGAATTTCATGGCTTACTAAACTTTTTAATACTATTTTGAAGACTAAGAAGATGTCAGATGAGTGGAGAATGAGTGTGTTAATTCCTATTTTTAAGAATAAAGGTGATGCACAAGATTGTGCGAATTATAGAGGTATTAAGTTAATGTGTCATACTTTAAAACTATGGGAGCGAGTTATGGAGCATAGGTTGCGGCGTGATACTAATGTTTCTCAAAATCAATTTGGATTCATGCCGGGTAGGTCGACTATGGAAGCCATACATTTATTAAGAGGTTTGATGGAGAAATATAGAGAAAATAAGGAGGACCTACATATGATATTTATTGATTTAGAAAAAGCATATGATAAAGTTCCAAGAGAAGTGCTATGGAGAGTTCTTGAAAAGAAAGGAGTCAATAATGCTTATATTCAAATCATTAAAGATATGTATGCAGGAGCTATTACTTGTGTTCAAACACAAGGTGGATTGACCAAGTATTTCCCTATTTCGGTTGGGTTACATCAAGGATCAGCCTTAAGCCCATATCTTTTTGCTTTAGTCCTGGATGTTCTCACTAGACATTTGCAAGAGGATATACCTTGGTGTATGCTTTTTGCTGATGATATTCTTCTTGTTGATAAGACTAGAGAGGGAGTTGAAGGTAAACTTGAATTATGAAGGTCAACCTTAGAGTCTAAAGGTTTTCGCTTGAGTAGATCTAAAACAGAATATATGGAGTGTAATTTTAGTAGTAATAGACCTAGTGAAGGGATTGTGACTTTGGGCAATCAAGTCATTAATAAGAGTACACGTTTTAGATATCTTGGATCAATTGTTCAAAGTGATGGTGAAATAGATGGGGATATTATCAACAGAATTCAAGTTGGATGGTTGAAGTGGAGGAATGCATCGGGCTTATTATGTGATAGAAATGTACCCCTCAAACTTAAGGGAAAATTCTATAAGATGGTAGTGAGGCCTGCAATGCTTTATGGTGCCGAATGTTGGCCATTAAAAGAGAAGCATAATACTAAGTTAAGTGTGGCAGAGATGAGGATGCTCAGGTGGATGAGTGGCTTTACCCTTAGAGATAAGATACGAAATGAGCAGATACGTAAAAAGGTTGGAGTAACTCCAGTAGAAGATAAGATTAGAGAGAGTCGCCTTAGATGGTTTGGTCACATAAAAAGGCGGCCTTCCGACGACCCAGTTAAGAGAGTAGAGGTATTAGATTTGACTTGTGTTAAGAAAGGTAGGGGTAGACCTAAAAAGACTTGGTTAGAAAATATTAGGAATGACCTTTCTTTATTAGATTTAAACGAGAATTTGACTTTTAATAGGACACAATGGAGAAAAAGGATTCATGTAGCCGACCCCACGTAGTGGGATAAAGGCTTGATGTTGTTGTTGTTGTTGTGTCATTTTTTTGAAAGATACTCTATCTAAGCTTATATTCTATACAATTCTGACAATAAATAAAAGAAGAAAAAATTTAAAGTAATTATCATTAAAATATTAATTATTTAATTCGTTATCATAAAAAAAAATTAAAAATAAGTAAAATCGTCCATTGAGTGATTGACTAGCTAATGACTCAGTTAGTAGTGTCAAAGTCGTCTGATGGTAGGGCTGCAAACGAACCGAGCCGAGCCGAGTATGTGAGTGTTCATGTTTGTGTTCATTTAATATCAGCTTGTTCAAGTTTGGTTCATGTTTGTTCGAGCTTTATTGTTTGTGTTCATGTTTGGTTCATTTAAATTAATGAGCGTTCATGTTCGGTTCATGTTCAGTTCGTTTAGTGCTTATCGAGTTTTAAACAAACAATCATGAACGAGTTATAAACGAGATTTACTTTCAGATGTTCACTAACTTAACAAATGAGCTTTATCGAGCTTCCTAACAAACGATTACATCGAGCATGTTCGCGAACATATTTAATGAATTTTTTTAACTATCAAATAAACACGTTCATGAACATATCGATAAAGAAACACATTTATATTAAAAGAAATTATTTATGTAATAAAGGCAATGATTTATAAGCAAATTCCATCTTTACAGAATTTTCCTAACAAATGATTTATAAATAAATAGTCATATAAAGCTACAATTACTTAGACAACAAGTTAAGTAATATCTGATACCTGCAGTCTGAAAGAATGGAAAGGAGAAGCATTCTAAATCAAATATTATTTATTTTTATCGAGCTTATTCACAAGTTCAAAACGAACATGAATCGAGTTTTTATCGAGCTTCTTATTGAGCTCAATGTCGAGCTTGTTCACGAGCTTCAAATGATGTTGTTCGCGAACATAAATGAGCCAAACACATTAGTGTTCAAGTTTGTTTATTTAAGAATCGAGTATTTAAAATATTGTTCAAGTTTGTTTGTTTAGTTAATTAAACGATCACAAACGAGCTTTAATCGAACCGAACAATGAGTAGCTCACCGAACGTTTGGTTCGCTTGCAGCCCTACCTGATGGACAGATAACTTTGAAAATAAATTTAAAAAAAATATATATTTTTGCATTGCTTATAAAATATTGGGTCAGGTATTGAAGGCATTTGATTTGTAGCTTTCATAGTAAAAGTAAAATAATTTGGGCAGTGGTGTAACAGTTTCTAATTTGATTTAAAATTTCTTATATAAATTATCTGGATATTGCACATTAATTAACTTAATTGCCTTGAATGATCAAACGATATAACAGTGGAGCTAGCGTAAGATAATTAAAACCAAATATTAAATAACTAAGAACATTTCATCAACAGATTTCTGAAATTATGAAATTGAATTGATACTATTGATAGAACATTTATTTATAATAAATTGATTGCACAGAATTTCCCTCTTATTTTTATCAATTGTATTAAGGCTTGCATCTCCATGGTGCCCATCTATGTTGTTGTCAATGGGGAGATTCATTGTTACTTTTTTTTTTTAGGTAAAGATTTTTTTTTTCCATTCAAAAATAAGGAAAGTACAACAGCTCAAGATAAGACAAATCAAAATTACAATGCTTTAAAAGCAAGCACCAAATAAAAAAAAAGTGCTAAAAAAATACAAAAAAGAAGGCCTCAAAATTTTGAAGAAACAATGAAAATTGTCAGACGGACTCAGGAATGACAAATCCTGCAACCACCCAGCCTCCAAGGAAGGACCATCCATTACAGGCAGCAAATCACAAGGCAACCAGAGGAGAACCACAAGAACCAGCATTATCCCACATGCCAATGAAGACCGGTGATCAGAATTGAACCACTAAGGTTGCAAGCAACCACGGCTAAGCTGAAGTTGTGCAAAATGGAGCTCATCATAGTTCGGAATCAGGCCATAAAAAGGCAAAGCCAAGCCAACCAAAACCACAAAGCCCACCAGCCGACAAGCACCTCAAAATGACATGATAAAACCACAGGCTAGACCCGAAAACAACCAGCAACAGAACAAAGAAAGGCACAAGCCTACCTCTTTTTATGTTTCCTCCTACGATGCTTGCCACCCCCTAGGGAAAAGGCTTTTTCAACGATGCGACTTACTTTCAAGTTATACACCTCATGATCATCCTCTTCCAGCCCATCCAAATCATCCCTATCACCCACACAAGGAGAAGAAATATAACCATCAAGCCAATCATTATGATCCACGTCAGAACCTTCCAAATTAACTGCTAGATGAGCTTTCAAAGCATCATGAGAAATAAGTGCAACAGAAACATCAACAAAAGGCACATTCGATAGAAATAGTTCGCACGAATTCAATGACAACTCAACAAAACCTCTAGAATCCAATTCATTCCCAACCACAATAGGGCTGGTAAAGACCACAACAGCTCCACCCCACCACCACCCGAAATTAAAGGTTTGGAAATACCACCAACCTAAGCCACTACTTCAACATTAATAGGACTAGTTATAAGGTTAATTAAATAATTATTGGCATCAAAGATCTCATTAACACCTTTGATATTACCAACAATAGTAAAAAATAAATCAGTAGCTTCTGCCTCAACATCAACAGGAGCACCCAAAGGCAAAACAGAATCGAACTGAACATCATCACCCAAAGGAGCAGCCAAACTAGCATCATCAACACAAGGAACCAACTTCACAGCCTTCAGTTTCACCACACAATTCAATAATATCCACCCCCTTATTAATGGGCGGAGCAAGAGGAAAGGTAGGTGTAACACAATTATCCAAATTATCCAAAATACCAACATTATTCCCATCACAACTAACATTAGCATTAACAAGATTACCCACTGCAACGAGGTTATCTTAAGCCATATCCAAAGACGCGATATCATATATCAGAATTTCGACGAGGAAGTCTACCTACTACAGGCCATCGCGAGGTGTTTAATAGGAGGTATTCATCGTTAAGAAGTGTAATACATAGAACGGGCATTTGGTGTACGGAAAAAGAAATTGAGAGTTCTACGAGATATGCCGAACTACTTTTCAAAAAACACCGGCTTATTATAGTGGCTACAATGGCACTACATAACTACATAAGAAGATATCACTCAAGTATTGATCTAGAATTCGAGGAATGTGATGCTGATGAAATTTTTTTTCATCCAGAGGCACATGAGTTCCGACTTGAAGAAGAAGTTGAACCATTATGAAGTACAAATTGTTCTTTATAGTTGCTTGATGGCAAAGGTGCGACAATTGCAATGCAATTATACACTTGTAATATGTAGTACACTTACCTTAAAGTTTATTTAAATTTAAATATACCATAAATAATTATTAGTAAAACAAGTAGCAATATAATAGTAAATGATTGATGATATACTTATAATATATTTTGTTTTATTTCAGATTTCTTGACAAAAATTGAGATTAATCAAATTTTGAGTTACTCCAAAGTAAAGCATGTGACGACAATAGTTTAGTTTTGTTGTTCAGTAGATTTTATTTTCATCTACTTTGATTTTACTTGTAATGAATTGAGTATTCAAATGATGTAAATTGTTGTTTTTTATAGTCAAAATCGACTTTTTAGTTGAATTTAAGGGTTCGTTTGGGACGGCTTTTTTATTGTTTTCTAAAACGGAGTTTTAGTACAAATTTTTTTATTTTTGTACTAAAACTCCGTTTTAGAAAGCAATAAAAAAGCCGTCCCAAACGAAGCCTAAATTTAATTTCAATTCTAGTTTTAATTGGCAGCATCAGCTTTGCAAGAATCCACGCCCCAACCCTGATATGATATGAAGACACTCTTCACTGACCACTCATTTGCACCCGCTAGCGACCAACGACATCTTTGAATGTTATAAAGGAGTCATTCTCTGGAGCTTTTATTCTGTACAGAGACCGGACGGGAGAACCATCTAGTTAAGTACTGAGTATCTAGTTGTACCTAGCAGTACTGAGTGTGGGTATCGAGCTGAGTACCCGCCAATGAAGTGACGTGGCGTATTTTTATTGGTCTCCGGACGCCCTCCACACTCGGCACAGAATAATTCTTCCATTCTCTCTGGTGTCATTCATCTGGTAATATTTACTCTCAGTATGATTTAGAAAGTAAGAAGATTATTGCATGCTGGAAGATGATAGATTCTTGTAAATGTTAGTCGGTGATGATAAGTGATATTCTTACACATGATGCTAAATAAATGGTATTGGAAAGCGGTTTTGGGTTGATCAACTTTTTTTTTTTTTTTAAGGATTCTTTGGTAAGCTTATTTTGTGCACATATGTTGACACTAAATAAAATGTTGCAGGTCCTCTCCCTGAATTTCACCAAAGATTAAAGTTTTGTTTGGGATGACTATTTTAGTGCTTCTTAAAGTAGCTTTTTAGTACAAATTTTTTAATTTTTGTACTAAAAAACTGCTTTAAGAATCAGAAAGAAAGCTGTCCCAAACAAAGGCCTAAGGCTTCATTTAAAATGGCTTTTTTTAATATTTTCTAAAGCAAATTTCTTGTACAAAAAGTTTTTTGAACAAAAAATTTTTGTACTAGAGAACTGCTTTAAAAAGCAGCAAGAAAGCCATCCCAAACGAAGCCTAAGACTCCAATATTTCGCTTCTTTTTTTTTTTATCTACAGTAGAAGTGATCTTAGGCTAAAGTCAAACAACAAATAAAATAAAAATAGCAAAACCTATTTTATCATGTTTGTCATCTCATAAAGCTTAAACGAGAATTTGACTTTTAATAGGACACAATGGAGAAAAAGGATTCATGTAGCCGACCCCACATAGTGGGATAAAGGCTTGATGTTGTTGTTGTTGTCGTCGTCGTCGTCATCTCATAAAGCTAAGTCAAACATAAAAAAACAAAAACAAAATTAAGGCTAAAGAAAACTCAAGAGAAATATGCAATTAGTAAGAATTAACTTGAGGAACTTTCAAATAAGTAGAAAAGATTCTAAAGTTACCATTCTTTCTCCTTTGCACGCCAACTACGGTACCTTAGACCACCGTTGCCCAACTCCGATCCTTCCCACATCCATCGCCCGCCAACTACGATCCCTCTGACCATCATCGCCGACTCTAATCCTTCTAACCACTGATGTCGCTAGCTCTGGTCCCTCCTACCACAGTCACTCGACAACGGTCATTCTGACTACCATCACTCGCAAAATATGATCTCTCCTACCACTGTCGTCTGACTAAGGTCCTTTCGACATCTGTCACCCACAGACTACGGTCCCTCCGACCGCATTCTGACCTCTATCGCCTACCATGCAAATCAAAAGTCGATTTGTAATTTGGTCTTATAATAACACCTAAAAAAATATTTGTTTGGAAAATACATGATATTACAGTTGAGCTCTCACCCATGCAAATCAAAAGTCCTCTGCCAAATAAAAAATTTGTTGAGGCTATTTATCATATAATTAAGCCCTAGAAAATAAAACAATTCTAAGATGAGTAGGACATGGTAAGAATAGATGTAAACTCCCATCATCCACAATATATAGAAATAATAATATTCCTATCTTATAATTGTGACACATATATAATTATTTTTTTATGTAGAATCATACATAAAATTTTGTTCAATTGTAACACTATACTTTATGATGTAGGACTAAATATGTGGGTTGATGTTTAAGTAGGAAATTACATGCTTGTTGAAGAGTAAGCACAATTATCCAACTTCTAACAATTTTAAATGAAAGATTGAAAACAATAAAGAGATGATTAGATTAGGCAATCAGGTACACGATAATCGTTAGGAGCACAAAATAACCAATTCAAATCAAACTTTGCAATACATGAAAGTTTTCAAAGGAAATTCCTAAATTAACATTTAGACTATTCACTATTAGGATCCCTCACTCACACTCTTAAAAGTTAGTTAGACGGATAAAGCTTGCATAATCTTCATGATGCCACAATTTAGGGAAACTTTGAAGGAATAAGTGACGCCGGAGCTGAGCTAAAATCTGGTTAAACTTCAGACTAGTTTAATTCCATTTAGCTGTTAGTATGGCTATATAGATATACAATGTTTCTTATATTTGGTGTAGTCGATTATATTGCTACTTTTGTCTATAAATACCTAGCTATTGATTGTAATAAGGGAGATTGTTGAGATGAATAAGAATTGAGTAATTTTACTCTTGTTTTGGGTTTCTGTATCCTGACGGATTTCAGGTGGTGATCCCCTCCCAAGGAGTTCTTGGGTCTTGTGTGAGTTGCGAGTTCCTGCAGCTCGCATGATCTTGTCCGTCACTGTGTCGCCTCCGCCCCGTCACCGTGTCGCCTCCGCCGCCAGTGTCATTTGGTATCAGAGCTAAAAAATGCTAGCGTTGCCCATGAGGGAAATAGCATGGTGTTCTTCTACCGAGCGTCCTATCTCTTCCTCGTAGCTGTTCTTTCCCTCTTGCAACAGAATTTTGTGGAAATCAGAGCAGCTGTTGTTGATTCGGTGAAGAAAAACAACATATCATCTTGCTGTTGGACTGATTCCAGCTGCCCAAATCTTGTTCCAGATCTTCTGTTGGGTTGAGTTTTAAACTATGCCAATCTGATTCTTGAAGATAGCAACGACAATTTCCAACTCAGCCTTCATTCCAACGGAGATCATTCTTGCTTTTCCCCTATTCCAAAACGGTGGCGGTCTTCTCTTCCAACGAACCTATCCAAGGTTTGTCTGCACACGACGGCCAGAGTTCCTTGCCAAGGTGTCGTCGTCCCTACCCGCCGGGCTTAAGAGGAGTTCCGCTATCGCCGCCAGGCACAAGAAGAGTTTCGCTGTCGCCGCCGGGCTCAATAGGAGTTTCACCGTCGCCGCCGTGCTTAAGAGGAGTTTCACCGTCGCCGTCGGGCTCAGCCATCTTGTCCATCCCGGAAGAAAGCTTGGAGTGATTTTTGTTGGCGGTTTCTTTCTCCTTCCAACAGTCAAGAACGGTGATCCAAAAGATAATAAGGGTGTTGTCTTCTTCCTGTAGGCTATTCTTGTTTTCATTTTCTATATCTTGGACAAAGGTCCAAGTGGTGATTATTTCCTCGACAAGAATGTCACATCGCCGAAATCATCAAAGACCACTGCAAGAAGCAGAAATCAAAGATCTCTTACAAGAAATCACCCGACTCAAACTCCGATTGTCAAGGATTGAACGAAGAAAAAACTTGAGCCCCCTTTCCCGAGACTTTGATGGCTTTCCCGATCTGAATTTTTCAGAATCAGAAAGCAAGAATACGGTGGAACTTGGTGTTCGAAAGCTCACCACAAAGCCAAATGAAAGCCTCTATGATCTAAAACATGAAGAACTATCACCAGTTCTAACTGCCTCAATCGAGTTCAGTTTCAAAAGACTTGAAGATCTGTTGCTGAATTCATCGTCTTTACCTCTCTACGATGAGCCTGTGTACGACGCGTATAATGATGACATGTTCGATGAAGTTCTTGATCTGGAGCAACCCGCATATGATAATTATGATAAGAGCAAGACAAATGTCCGATCAGAACTATTCACTCACAATGTTCCAAAGATGATCGAGAAAGTGGAGGTGGTGCCGCCTAAAGCGATGGAGGTCAAGGGTAAGATCAAATGTGCTTCGCGTCGCCACACCGATCTCTACTTCTGGGAGGCCAAGGACCAGACTTCCTTATTTCCCCGCATTTTCGTCCAGGAAGCCACAAGGATTGTTAAAAAGTGTTGGTGAGGGTATTACTGAACTCAAGGTAGGAGTACTAAGCAAGGATGCCAAGTTAATAACAAAGCCTATAAATTTATTTGAGAGGACTTTGAAAGAAACACCTTAATTTGGTTCTAAATGCTTTCACAATCACAAGTATTACATTTGCTTATGCTACTCTTGAGAGTTTGAAGATTGGTAGCTAAATTGATAACGAGTGGAACTATCCGACCGGTTTAGCCAACCAAACCAGCCTCCTTATTGTGGCCAGCCGAGCATCTTCCTACGAGCCTGAAGTTCCTCCTACCCCGGTAGTATGACGCCGGAGCTGAGCTAAAATTCGGTTAAACTTCATACTAGTTTAATTCCATATAGCTGTTAGTATGGCTATAGATATACAATGTTCCTTATATTTGGTGTAGCCGATTATATTGCTACTTTTGTCTATAAATACCTAGCTATTGATTGTAATAAGAGAGATTGTTGAGATGAATAAGAATTGTGTAGTTTTCCTCTTGTTTTGGGTTTCTGTATCCTAAAGGATTCCAGGTGGTGATCCCCTCCCAAGAAGAAGTTCTTGGGTCCTGTGTGAGTTGCGAGTTCCTACAGCTCGCATGATCTTATCCGTCGCCGTGTCGCCTCCGCCGCCGACGTCAATAAGATTCGAGAGAGAATTCACATTCGTCAATATTCGGAAGAAAGTTTCCACTTAACGAGAGGTTGTCTTTGATCAATAGTTGTTACAAGGGAGAAGAGGATTCACTCCACGTATTCTTCGACGGAGTGGTCGTTCTCAAGATCTATGTCGAAGAACAGAGATTGAAGAACGTCGATTAATCCTTGATCATAAAAAATGAATCGAAACCGTGATCATGTTCTAGATCAGCCATACATGAGTGGACATCAAACTAAGGGTTGCAAGAACTTCTGGGCAGCAAAGAAGGGCCTTTCAGATAGCAGGAAAGCCAGGCGGTCTTGCTGAAATTTTTGGACATCAATAGGACTTCTCTGGACAGCACGCTAGTGAGTTATGGGATGTAGGGCAGCAAGTTTATGTTGCGAATTTTTGGACAGCAACTTCAGGTGGAGAATAATTTGGGAGAGAAATAATAAGAAAATAAAAGTGGAAAGTGGAGGGAAAGTGGAGGGGGTGGCTAGCCATTAGTGGAGAGAGTGGTTGAGATTTTTATTTAAGTTGCCAAACATAACTTCCTAATTAAAGAAATAGGGTTTAAAATAAATCTCCCAAATCTAAAATTAATTTGGGAAAGTTGATTGAGGAGAGTTAATTGGATGGATCAAAGGGTAAAGAGGGGAGAGAGAGGGCTGACGACATGCTTGAGTGGGGAAATTGATTTGGGATTTGAATGCCTTTCCAATCTTGGCAATCTTAATTTAGGAAAGAGGTTTAAATCAAATATCTTTTAAATTCAAATTCAATAATTTGAAATCTGAATTAAAACCTTTCAAATATATGTAATCTTATTTTAGGAAAGTACTTCCAATTCAAATTGAATTGAAATTTGAATTCTGAAAGCTTTGCTAATTTAAGATGCTTCTAATAAGGAAAGTAACGATTGATTGGTTTGAAATTTGGAGGTAAAGGGAAAGGGATGGGTGGCCGACAACTAGGAGGGGAAGGGAGAGGTTTGGGCCGACATCTAAGAGGAAGGGATGGTCTTGGGGCTCGGTGGATAGGAGGGGCTTCTTAAACCGACGGCTAAGTAGGGTTTTTGGGGTTATGGGCTAGCGATTAGAAGGAGGAGAGGGTTTGTGGGCCGGCTATTTGATGAGGAGAGAGAGGAGGTGGCGTGTTGATGGGTAGTACGTTGCCCTCACTTAAGGACTTAAACTCTCACAAGAGCTCTCAAATTCAATAAAGCACAAATGCAAAAATTTATCATAATATATTCATCAGTCTCTCGAAAGAGAAGGAAGGACCATTGTGGACCTCCGAAAGGACACCGCTACGGCTGCAGGATTTCAGGAGGGTATACGACCGCACCTATCCCGAGGGATAGAGACGATCGTGGGCCCCCGTGCTCCTCACAAACGGGTCGGTGGAAGGGACAGATTGGACCATACATACGATTAACCATGAAGGATAGCGGCTTTCGCCTATGCACCTCGATGTGTAATAATATGTATGGCCTGATCACATTCACATGTTTCCCCCATTAAGGAATTTAGGCATGATTGGGAGGGAAATAAATTCAAATTAGCCGTGGTTTTGAATTTGGAATCATTAATAGGGCTTTAAATGCATTGAATGGGCTCTAATTGGGCTTAAATAGGTCAAATTAACCCATTAAGACTTGGGTTGACCAAGTCAAAGGTTAACTTGGTCAACCTAGTCAATTATGCCCAATGGGGTGGGTGTTTGAGTCCAAAAAGAGTTTGAAATGAATTGAAATTTAATTAGACCCACTAGAGCTCAATGGGTCAACTTGGGTTGACTCGATCAACCCGATTTACCCAATACATGTGTCTAAGCTCAATGACCATGGTCTGACCCATGGAACCCAAGGGAGGGTTTGACAAATTCGATGCCAACAACAATAAATAGGCAAATACATTATAAAATCCAAAAGACAAAATTGTCCCCGGAGTCACATGAACCTACTCCCTCAAGTGAGGGTAAAATCGAAAAGATATAATAACAAATCAAATACAAATAACATCTCAGAAATAAAGCTACGTAATCATGATCATAGATCTCTGACTTCTTTTCTAACACTCTCTCTAATGTTGGATGTCCTCATCACTTTGCCCATCATACAATTTCTACATATGGTGCGCATATATATATATTCTCATTTACAAATTGCTTGCTCTTCATCTTTTAACTTCAACAACAAGATAAAAACCGTTACCTTTGGCTTCCCAGCAGACATGAGCTTTTCAATATTTTTTGCATAAAGTGAGAATAAATCCTCCATAATGTCATTTCCAAAATGAGATACAAGTAGAGGCTCCAAAATTGCTCTGGTGTATTTTGCAATATTTTTTGCACTTAAACTTTTATCCACCACAAAATTATCATTTGATTCATCAAAAGGATCCTCATTTGACTCAAAAGTTTGTAGTTGGTCAAGATGAAATGAACCTTCCATATTGATTGTAGATTTCACTTCCTCCATTAATGGTGCATAAAATGGTAAGTTAAAGGCATTCAGTTTATCCTCTTCCACAAGCCCCTACATTAAATAGAGAATATTATAAGAAAATTCCTTATGTAGTAAAACCAATCCATAAGCACAATCATGTATTGAGATCCATGCTAATTAAATAATGGATTAAGTGGTGGTTTATATGTGCTTAGGGAAGGATTTTTTTTTTTTTTGGGCACAAATAACCATGAGCTGGCTAGTAAATTCATCATACATTCCATGGAGAAATAATAGACATACTAGATAACATGTAGCCAAGGTATATTACTAATTTATATTCTCAAAAGAAGTTCACTCTTCTTTTTTAAGTACAATTAAGTGTACAATCATTTAATAAGTTTCAATTTTTATGTAGTGTCAATGATGCTTGGAGATTGATAATATATATTCATGTTGTTTATGAACAACTTGAGAGAATATATAATATTTATCTGTAAAATAAAGTAGGATGAAACAACATAAATCTCATTGATATGATCACTCCAAAGTTTAATAGTTTTCACTATAATTCCAATCATTCAAATGTTTCAAGAAAAGCTATGATCATATGCTTTTAAGGAAATTACAATAAGAGCTTTAATTCAAGCAAAAAACTGAGAAAATATGGATTTACCTCAGAAACCAATGCCTTTAGAGCATCTGCAAGATCTCCCCAAAAATAAAGATCTATTTCACTAGATGGACAATTAGTCCTTCCCAAAAATGATAGGATCATCCTTCCTCCGAAAATGAGCTCCTTAGAACGTGATTTAAGGAATTCTAAGAAATCCCTTTTAAATTGTTCTAAATACAAATGAGATACTATAGAAGAGCTTTCTTTACTGATATAAATGTCTGTGCCATTTAATTGATAACCTTTTTCTCCCTCGAGCCCTTTTGGTACCTAAAACATAAGTTTATGTTTATTTAGAGAAGCAAAATACACTTAGCGCAAATCATAAGAATGAAATTTTATGAATGATATATTACTTAATAATATATATTGCCTTAGATGTTAGCCTTTATACAAACTGTTGTGCTATGAGACCAATATATAAATTATTTTGGACTGAAAAATACTTATATGTTTATTTTAATCATAACATGAAATGATGTAAGACATCTTATATAAGATAAATTTTGATTTACCATCTGATCTTTTGGTAAATAAGACTAAACTATACATTAAAATGAAAATTTGTCATACAAAATTTGAGGGAAACTAAATCCTCGCCTTTTTAAAAGGTAATTAAAAGGCGATGCTAGCTGCATAAACCTTACATAAACATATGATTTTAAGTTGATCAGGTGCAGATTTTCCTTGCTACACAATGCACATAATGTTTAAAAATGGTATGAATTTGAGTATAGGCATATTTGAGCGAATCTTTTACATGTTCTATTATAGTAGAAAGATTTTAAATTTATTTAAGAATGGGACGTTGAAATTGCTACTTTTCAAAAAAAAATTATTTTCTTTATAGAATGAACTAATAAAAAATATTCCCGAAGTATTAATGAGTACATGGAGCTACCAAGATCTAATATTTACATCTATTTTTTTACAAGGAAATATAGATATACTGGCTAAATGAAATCCATGGAGAATATATATATATATATTGACATACCTGAGATAGCCACATGAGGCAATAGGAAGAGTGAAAAAAATGCACGCTCTTTGAAGGAAATAACCTCCCGTAGAATGAACCTGGTAATCCGACAACATAGAATGGCACATAGTCATCCCCTTTCTCTTCTCTAATATTCTGCTCATAGAGCATTGATAATTGGAAGAGATTGTTAAAGTCATTGCTAGGAAGATCATTCAGAAAGAATTGGATCTCAGGTTTCTGTTGGCTTAACTGATGGCAATGCTGATCAACAACATTAATGACTTCAGAGAGCATACGAAATGTGTTAGGACCAGAGGAGCATCCCAAGTCAGCAACAACAAATTTTTCTGGGAGGGTTTTCAATATTTCTTTTATGGCTTCTTCCACGAATGGCTTTGTCTTAAAGATTGCCTTCTCCTACCAACCATGAGAAATTGTTTAACAAATAGTAATTTTTCCCATCCGATTGTGAATTTTTATTCATATTAACAAAATATATCAGGCTTAGAACACAAGCCTAAGTATATATCATTTGGTTCCTGCAAGATAGAAAATGTTTTAAAAATAACACAATTTTTTTTGGATTCCATCATTCAATGGCCAAGGGACCAAATGGTCTTTAGTTGGAGAAATTATTATGTGCGGGGACCGGACTCAGAACTCTGCCCGGAGACCAATCAAAATGTGCGTCAGCAGTACCGAGTGATACCAAGCTATGGTACCGAGCACAGGGGTAACGTGAAACATTTTGATTGGTCCCCTAACAACACAAAATAATGAATCCCTTAGTTGAAGCTGCAAACAATTGTAGTAGGGTTAATACAAGGACAACATATTGGGTTTACAAAAACTAGTAGCTGTTAAGTCAAAAGGCACACATACTTGAAGCCTGGAGTTGTTAGCATAGCTGTTCTCTCCAGCACCTCCCACCATGTGAAAAACTTGGTCCATATTCATGGCAGTACGTTCAACTTGATAAAACTCACTTTAACAACCTGAATAGTCATGTTCAAAGAAATATTAGTCAGCTTCAAGTAATACACATGCATACCGATGTAAATGTACACACGCTCCTAAATTTGAAGATAATAATTCATATTTTGCATATAGTATTTTTCGATTTTATAATTTTTTCTTTTCCTTTCAAGTTTTCCTTTGAAGGGGGGGTTTGGATGCAGGCTTTAGATTTCATTTGAGAAGAGGTCATAATTATGATATTAAATTGGATATTATTTTTCCGCTACTTCCAAAAAAAATTTTGAGATTGTGGGCTCCGAAAATTTGGCCTCGGCCTCCACTCGCTTTTCTTATTCGGCGAGGGAGTTTTAACGAACTAAGTTCCGAGGTAAATTTTGGAAGGCAGATGGGTTTGTAGATAAGACACTACCCAGAGATTTCGCCCTCATTTTGCGAGGACTTTATGATCTGAGTCCTGGTTTCCTATAGGCGCAAGCCCCTATAGTTAATTACCCCTCCCGATCACGAGAGAGAACTTTCGATTAAGGCTAGTCATCAATCAGATACGTAGAGATACGTGTTATCTGGCATATAGTAGCAGCAATGAGTATTGGTATTGAGGATTGGAAGTTTGGAATACTACTTTCTTTGTAATGCAGTATTTTAGTTTTATTACTTTTTTTTAAAGCAAGCAAAACATAATAGACAAAAATTATCCCAAACAAAGCCTAAATCCATTTCTTCTCCTTTTTGCCATAAATACCATATTTTTTAGATCCAGTGCATGGACAAATTTACGGGATATAGTGAGTAATATGAAGCGCGGGAGAAAGGCACGAGAAGGAACGTCCACCGCGTGTCTTCCTCACTACAGGGCAGGTGCAAAAAAGAAGAGGGGAAAAAGGTGATGACTTCTCCAGCCCTTTTTTTTAGGGTGGGCAAATTCAATATATAAAAAAATATATATTTCATTAGCAAATTTCTAAGCAAAGTCGTGTATTTCATTATAATTTATGAAATAAAAAAGAAAATTACAAACTTTGCATTTTCTAATAATGTTGCATAATGACTTTATTAGGAATAGAGTCAAATACTGCTATCCCAAAATATATCACCAAATAGTCATTGAGCCGGACATCATCCATTTTGCTATGCAACTGATGCTTAATAATCTTCATTGCATCATTCTAACTTCATTGTAGGTAAATTACAGGATGTGTGCCACCATTGACATGCTTTTAATAGATTTAAGGATTCTCTAAAAAATGGTCAAATAATTCATCAAGAATTTAACAGTCGACATGTCAGGCAATTTTTAAGTTTTAATCCTCTGGAGATTAACCAAATCCTACTTCAGTTAAATTAAGTTTGGAGCACCTTTTTAACAACCAGACACTGTTAATTACGAGCCAAGTTAGAGCACTCCAAATAGAGAGTAAATTGAACCCAGAGAATAAAAACCAATAACGGAAAAATTAAGTGAAGAGAGATGATTTCAGTATATAGCCCTTCCCCGTCATCCTGTTTTTAGACTGAGATTGAAGTAACTGGAGTCTGTTGAAAATAATCTCAAGGATCTGTCTAAAGCAGCAGAATGAATAGTCAAATCCTGGTTCTATAATCTATTGCAGAGAGATTAAATAATTTTTCAAGAAGTTCTTCCTTGTTAAGCAATAATTCAACCACAAACTAAGATTAGTTAACGTATTCTTTGCTCCTACTAAATAAGTTAGAGTTTAATCATCCCCCTGCTGCCATAAAATAGTAATAAACAAACACAAAGACAAAAAAAAAAAAAGCTGAAGGAAATTGAGCCATAGACAAGCAATAAAACGGAAATAGTGCTGAAACAATGCTTTTCTTCCCTAGTCGAGACAAGATCGTTTCAATATGCAGAAACAGCAAGATTAATCCTTACCTTCAATACGTTCGTCGAAAGCGACCGGTAAGACGAGATTCGCGAAGATGAAGGCTGCGAAGAGGATGGCTGCGACTGCAAAGAAGAAGGATGTGAGAGGGTAGCGAAGAGAAGGCGGCGACCTCTTCAACGTCGAATGCGACAGGGAAGTGGGAAGTGGGAAGTGGGAAGTGGGAAGATGAGATTCGCGAAGGGGCTGCGAAATGTGCGATGGACAAGCACGCTCACGATTGATAGAATTAGGAAAAAAGATTTTTGAGGGGGCAAAATTTTAAAAATACCCTCATCTAATACATTATTTTTTGGGGGGTTTTACATACCTAACAGTAAAAACATTTTTATTTACACATTTCACACACAAACTAAACTTTTTACTGTTATACCATCTAAAAGCTCTAATACTCATCAAATAGAACAATCCGTTTGTTCGGTCAAAACCAATACGCGAAAAAAGGGTTTCTTGCGCAGGAAACAAGTCTCAGGGACGGTAAGAAAAGCAGAGCATCAACTACTATTGTATAAAAGCTTTAAAAAATAATATATGTGATGCGGAGCATTTTAGCTATAGTCTTCCTTAGGATTAGTATATCTAGTTTTATACTTGTTTCTAGATGATTCTCATGTTGGCTTATATATAGAAGGTTGTAGTAGGAAACAACATCAATGAATATTATCTCTCATTTTGAAGCTTAAGCTTTGTGTATTTGTGTGTTTATTCCCTGGATTGGGAAAACACTCAAGCAGTGTCCGTTTCCCTGTCGATCCACTGCATCAGTTTGGTATCAGAGCCAAAGCAGGGGGATGACGGACAAAGACGTTCGGAGCCGTGAAACGCTTTGGGCAAACCAGGCGAAGATCATCCGAAAACTTGAGGCGTTGTCTACTGATGTGCAACGCCTTTTCGAAATGCACCGCGAGTTCAATCTCTACCGCGAAAGGAATGCACCCCATCGTCTTCGTCGCGAGCATACACCGGCTCTGGCTATAGGTGTTCGACGAGGCGTGGGCCTTGACCGGCATTGGCGTCGAAACCCCCATCTCGATCAGGAAGCATCTGATTCCGAAGACGATTATCTAATGCCGCAGGAATTGGATCTGATAGACTCCGAGGAAGACGATGAAGTCTTTGAACACAATGAGATCACCTACAGGCGTCGACGACATCCATTTCCTGTACAGTGGCGCAATCCTCCTCCGTTCCATCATCCAACGCCTCAAACACAGTTCGTCAATCCGCTTACCGAATCCGCCTCAGTTTTCTCCTGCGATTCGACTTCGCTTCCGCGGGCACCACCTGAGGCCATCCGCCTGCTTCCGTCGAACCGAGCTCCTCCACCAACCACAATTTCGCCTCCGCTTCTTCCCGCACGCACGACCCGAGCGATTCCTCTCCCAATCGGCTCCAGCGTCCCATATGCTCCAGCGTCGTGCGACCAAAAACCAGACCAACAAGCTGGAGCGACTCCGTCACATCCTTCTAGCTCTGCTCAGTCCAGCAAAGTTGCTTCCAATTATTTCTGCGTACAGGGCGCTGCTGGAAAATCAATTTCATCTTCCAGACTACCGGATCTTTGGCAAGCTGAAACTCACTTCTGCAAAACATTTGGAGGATCACCCAGTAGTGAATCGGATGTTTATACTGCAGGTGTGCAAAGGTCCGATCAAACTTCTACTGTCAAAGCCAATCCAGTGCAATGCTCTCAAAATGTTCACTTAAATGTCACTGAAGAACCTGATCCCGTGTCGGCCGTAGTCCCGACTCGACCCCATCACCATGACCTCGTACGCGCGGGCCATGAAGCCCGCCAGGATTTTGGCGTAGGATGTGTTAAGGAGGATGGCCTTCTCCAACCTCCGGATCTGTGCTTCGACCGATGCTCATCTCTAAGTCATATCCGCATGAGTGAAAACTACCTTAATGGCTCCATCCCAAGAGGCCTCTTTAGCCTTCCCAATGTCGTTCAGGTTGAGTTGCAAGACAATCTCTTCGCCGGCGGATTCCCCAACATAAGCAAATCCCGGATCTCATCCAATCTCGACCAGAGCATCCTCTCGAATAATAACCTCTTTGGTCCTCTTCCTTCTTCTATCGGAAATTTCTCTGCTGTCCAGAAGTTTTTAAAAGACCAACACTTCTTCTCCGGCAACATCCCGCCAGAGATTGGCCGGCTACAACAACTATCTAGCGGTAAAATCTTTTCCGTTCATATTACTCGGGAGATCAGCAAGTGCAGTTTCCTTACCTTCGTAGACCTCAGTAGAAACAATCTGTCAGATGAGATCCCAAAGGAGATCGCTGGAATGCAGATCTTGAACTATCTCAACATCTCCAGGAACCACCTCGACAAAAGCATCCCGCAATCTATAGCTTCGATGCAGAGTCTAACGGCCGTGGATTTTCCTTACAATGTTCTCTCCGGCCTCGCTCCAGGCACCGATCAATTCAGCAACTTAAACGCCCTTATATTATGTAAAGCTAAGAGGATAGGTGAGTCCCAAAGCCGATGGACTTCAATGGTGCCGATAAGGAATATTGAATTTGTCTTGAATGTGGCAGAGGAGAATGGAGAGAGCAAATTAATTGATTATGCTTATTCATCTATGATTGTTTGCTTGTGCAATAATGATAAAGTGGCTGCCTATGGTGCTGTTATAAGCATTCTAAATGGAGAGGGCAGCAATGAAACCAAAGTTATTATTCCCAGGTCAAAGGTACTCATGCCGCTAATGAATAAGTTTATATTGATGCATCAAAGACGCCAAGTTTTCGACCCAGGAGGATTGATCATAATCTTTCTCCCGATGACGAGCCTCGACGGAGTCGAGCTCTTTTGACGCAAGGGGAGAATGATGCGGAGCATTTTAGCTATAGTCTTCCTTAGGATTAGTATATCTAGTTTTATACTTGTTTCTAGATGATTCTCATGTTGGCTTATATATAGAAGGTTGTAGTAGGAAACAACATCAATGAATATTATCTCTCATTTTGAAGCTTAAGCTTTGTGTATTTGTGTGTTTATTCCCTGGATTGGGAAAACACTCAAGCAGTGTCCGTTTCCCTGTCGATCCACTGCATCAATATGCTATGCTCGGATAGCAGAACTAGAAGCCGATGGATCATCTTCTGCAACTATTTTGAGTCATAGTATCCTCAGAACCACGCTCATCAAGTTCAGGTTTATGACGCCTTGTTGTTTGACAAGGATCACAATATAGGTTATTTATAAAAGAAGAGATTATTGTGGTATTTCCTTTAGCATAATATTTTAAGAATACCCATAGAGATTGAAAGAAGTCAAGCTTTTAAACGTCATTAGAACCTTCAAAGGCAATGAATGAACCTATATGGTGTAAACTGATTAAAAATAGAAAATCAAATAGTTCAAACTAAACACAGAACATACCTTGGCGATGTTGCGAAAGGGTGAATAATAGCAGCATGGGATTCATGAAACAGAGAAGAGTCGCAGTGTGGTAGTCGTGAAACGGAGAAGAGGCGCAGTGTGGTAGTCGTGAAACGGAGAAGAGGCGCAGATCGGTTGGGACCTGGAGAAGACTACTGTGCGAGAGATGGAGCAGCTCCAGTATCAACGAAGAAGAAAGGAGATTCCCGTGGTTTTTCGGCTCGGCTTTGATTGGAGGGAACGGAGTGTTTTTTTTTTTTTTTTTTTTATTAGGTTAAAGGTTTTGAAGTGGTATATTAGTAAATAGATAATTTTAGGTGTTTAATAGATAAATATTGTAGTTTTAACTTTTAAGTGTTAGACATGTAAAAACCTCTATATTTTTTTTTTTTTTGTACAACCTATTCTACCGTCTTCCGCTTAAGCACGAAGGGCAGCGGGACGAAGGCGATCTCAAGCACACGACTCGGAAGCTGTAGACGTCGAGCGGAAGGACGATGAGGAAAATCAAGCCCTACTGTTTCTTTAAGAATTAAAAAAACGGTCTTTTCTAAAATTAGCAAGTAGAAAAGTTCAGAAATTTACATGGCTCTTCTATAGTGTTGCAAGTCCTCTTTTTGGCATTGGCTGTCTTCAAATTGTTGCTCGTTTTTTTGCCTGATGGGTATTTTTGCCATGGACGATGATGTGCTCTTGCTTCAGGCTGCCTCTTGGATGGTCCGCCGGCAACCAGGGGTTGTTGGATGCTTAATTATGACTTTTTTTGTTCTGGTTTCCTTAGTTTTGGCTTTGGGGGATTATCGCTTTCGCGATATATCCTTCTGCTGCTTCTTCCGCTTTTGCTGCTGAAGGCCCTCACTCCTGTTTTGTTGCTGATTTTATACTCTTTGTTTTACTTCCTCCTCCTATTTTTGGCTCTCTTGCGCTTGCTCTCTTTTTTTTTTTTTTTTTTTTTTTTTTTTTTGGGGCCAAAGCCCATTGAGATTGCTCTTTTTGATCGCACAAAAAAGAACTGATACGAAATTCCAAATTTACCACAATATAAAAAAAAAAAAAAAAAAAAAAAAAAAAAGCCCTACAGGCGTAAGGCACTAGGAAGAGCATAGACAAAGGCCAAAGAGAAGAAGATTGGCCGGCAACACGCAATGTCAAAGAATAAGACCACCTACCGCTCTCCCAACTCTCTCCATCAGATTTTCTTATTTTAACGCAATAGAGAACCAACTAAAATAGTTGATTGATATTTAAGTCTTTATTCAAAATGCTCTTTTTTTTTTTTTTTAGAAAGTTTGAGACAAAGTTCGTATATTAAAAAACAGGGATTACAAGGGAAGTAAGAATAAGAAAAGAAAACTATACCCAACAACAAATGGGAAAAAAGAAAAACAAGAACAAAATTAGACCAAATTCCAAAAAGCTGCAACAAGGGGAGCAATGGAGCACAAGCCAGACACAGTAAGACCATGAACCAACACACATAGACATGAATACAAAATTACTCTATGCAGACATATAACGTAGCCCAAAAATACTACCAATGAAGAACAACTACTTCTAGCTTTGTATATATATATATATATATATATATATATATATATATAAATAAAT